ATTTGCTAGTTCCATTTAGCTAATGTTTATATTTGAGAGCATTTTAACATGTTTGTGAGAGTAGAAACCTGGTGGAGTTCTTACATCAACTTCACTAATTCAAAGTGGTATGGAGAGTGCATCAACATTAACAGTGGAAGAAATTGACTAAGGCTTATGGCATTCGGAAGTGTATTCACATTGCCTATTCAAACATTTTGAATACTGACGCTGAATTATCTATAGTTTCATAGGGTTTCGCTCAAAACTTCGTCCAAATCTTTGTTCTCAATTCTTCAAAATCAACGAGCATAAATCTGCATGTATGAGGAAATATATTTTCCACATACTACTGTCAATGATGCGTTTTAGGATGTGATATGTTTGACAACTTTTGTGTGAAACAAGTACTAGTGATAAGTTTAAATTCACTTGGTATTGTTTACTTGAATATTCTCATTGATATTTAGCATTGCACGTGATCAGTCTCTCATTAGCAAATGTGCATCCTGTACGAATTGTCACGTTATTGCCTTAACTGACAAGCTTAATAAGCAAAGATGGATGGTGGTTTGGAGTGGAATCCAGTTTCACACGCGTTTCGTCCTACTTTTTGTACTGGTCAGCTGTATGTACCTGTATTCCAAACTTGTTGATGTTCACTTCGGGACTCGAACACAGTTGTTGATAGCGCCGATGCAATGTACACATATCTCAACGTTCGAGATATCAGCATATTCATTCAACTGTGTAATAAATTTCCCAATCCATTCAACAGTTTCTTTCACTTTACTACTCCTATGAACATATATATATACCAATCTATCTAATGTATATAAGTTCAATCATTCACGTTATTCCTATTAAAACGTCATTGTGAATAAAAGTAGCGTAGCATTCATTCTAATGAATAATAATTGAATATTTCTATTATGCAGTAATTAATTGTTAGTTCAAACATCCGTTATTCAATCATACACATCCGGTAGATGCATAAAAGTTATATCTCAATCATTTAATTGACTATTTTATAGCTGGTATTACTACTACTACTATTACTACTATTATAATTGTTAGTAATATGATAATTGATGCTTGGATGTTAACTATGAAATATTTTATGTCCTCAGTATAATGTCCAGAAACTGTTCGACTCATTTTGTTTATCCCACTTGTCCGAGAGCTATTTGAAGCACGCCCGTAAGTATTGAGTAAGTCGGTTTTCTGTTCTGTTGATTTTAACTACTGAACATGTACTTGTAATTTGATAGATATAAGTTTAGATATTATATGTGGATTCCTTCATTGTGAACATGTTTATACCATAACGTAACATCCTCATCTTCTAAACTGAGATGAAGAAATTTGGATGAGCTACTGATTGTAGCTTCTTTCAACTCATAATTCTCAATGTTTTCTTAAATGATCAATGAATCTTTGTGAATATCAGTTAGGTGGTAACCATTTTAGACACGATCTAACTCTTATTCTCTACTTCACAAGATGGTGTTCTTTTTCATAACATGAAACATATTAAGATTCAGATATAAAACATTCCATGTATTTTTATATCAGTACTCTGATACTAATCAACATATGCTCACTAGTGGCTGGTTTCAAGAGGTATTTCCTAGAGTTCTAGTGAGAATCAGAGACCAGTGGAATTCAACCGGATGTGTTGTGAAATTGTAACTCACTGATGACAATGGTGGATGTGATGCTCAATTTCGTGGATTAATTGAAGTTAGACATTAACACCATTGGACGCCGGCTCTTTGGTCCAATGGTTAGTCGTCCGCGTTAGAGACTGACAAGTTCCGAATTCGAATCTCGAGAGGCGGGATCGTGGGTGTGCATTGCTGAGGAGCCTCACAATAGGACGAAATGGCCGACCAGTCCTCCGAGGTTTTCCATGATGGTCTATCTTCAACTGACTGATGATCTCAGTCGAAAGCTCAATCTTGCTTTTGTTGAATATGACAAATGGAGAAAACGGAACTTGACTAATTAATATCTAATATATTTCGTAGTCATTGTGAATTATCACTGAAGAAACTGTTTACCTCTAATAGCGTTTATTTGACATTTCTCATTCATTCTTTTCATCTGCATAATCTTTTGTTGCCGAAAGAAGTTTCCTAGACTTAATCTGATTAAGTTTTAACGCAGTGGCTTCGTGTGTATCAATTTTTATTTGATACAGAACTTAAACGGTACATTCAATAAATTATGAAACATGGCAGTTCAGTGAAATGTTCTTTTTTTGATAATTTCATTTAGTCAAGCTATATAATCCTATTCATAGTTAATTTTATTTGTCAAAGTAGTATTCTATAATAAGATAGAATGGTTCTAAGTATCTAAAAAGCTTGGTAGTATGTTGTCAAGATCTAAAAATTAGATACTGAATGGAAGTTATGTAATAATCAGCTGGTGAATAATGGTAAAGTATTCAATTGAGATCTATTAAGAACTGAATTATTAGAAGTTAAATTGACTAGATGCTTCAAGATTGAGTTTTTGACTGACTTGAGTAATCCTTTCGATATTCAAAAAGGATAATGTTCGGAGATGCGTTTTGAAAGAACATGTTTTGTCCAGTTCGTATAACCTTCTATACATGAACAAGTAAACTGATAGATGTACATTGATTTGGTCTAATGTGGAAGCATATCCTCCAAACAACTTCAAATGATAGGTCGACTAGAAAAGGTAATGAGAATTTTAGCCGAATAGAACGTTTTTTCTTAGAGATCTTGAAAGTCTATTTTTCAGAATTTCTGTTTCAGTATCATCTCTAAACTGAATGTTCATGTTAATTCTGGCCACTTCGCTTCATTAGAAGAGTCGGCTCAATAGGAATGTAACTGAAAAACTTATGTACGGCAGAAGCTACTGTAATCGAGCAGTTCAAGTCTAACATGTGTGTACAATAACAGTATATTCAATCCCTCATTCTTACATGGCCATAACTTCCTTTCTATCTTCCGCAATCTACCGTTTTCGTTTATTTTTATAATTTCTAGTCTTTTCCAATTATTTTGATAACTGCTGGTAAGCAATTATTACAACTTTCAAATATTCTGCTCTCCATGTCTGATATTCAACATGACTAAGAAACATTTATTATGTTCGCTATATTGTAAAGAATGCTATTTCGCTGTCATCAAACTAACATTGAGGGGACACGTACTAAGTCAACTATTAACTGGAAGTCCCAGTTCCTTGTAATGACCGACAGTATATCCTTACTGCGTGTCATACTTTTGAGTTTTCCAAGATTGTAGGTAAACTATATGTCCACAACAGATGTAATAATTCTATATTTCAGAAGATTCTAAGAGTCCTCTTATACAGGACTCCTCTTTTTTCTATTATTGTGTGATCCCGCATGAATACTGTCGCAACATTGTGATAGTGTAGAGGTAAGAGAGATCACCCCATAATTCATAAGGTAACGTCTAAGTTTCTGCACTGATAAATCATTCGGTATCATGTTTATATAGTCCCGATCGAATTGTCTATTCAGTAGTAATGCAGCCATTAGTCTAAGTGATTCAGCACCGAGTGAACAACGTTTTGATGTTACACTGACTAATCATTGGGTAGTCACCAGGAACCTACCTCCGATCATCTAACAAAAAACACTCGTTTTCAGGTTATTTAGACTAGTATCCACATTTCAGTCAGCACTAAGAACTAGGAAAACATACCACTGGTTATGACTCTCATTAACTGTGCAAATATCTCAGCCCAATGGACCGTCACTTGCGCCCTAGGTAGTTCTTTAGTAACATCTCAGACTTTGAAGACTGGTGGTGTGGGTTCGAACCTCACATAGGGGACCAACAACCTTGAAGCCGCAGGTACACACTGCTAACGAGCGCCAACTAGTGAGAAACTTAGGTCCAAGGTTTACTTTTATATCTCCAACCCCTTAACCCCCTCCTACGACGGTATTTGACAGAGTACTAACTACTGCTCTGAATATTTTAAAGTGACCCTGAGTGACGAAGCATTGCACTATTAAACTTATAAATACTAAGTAAAACTTCGATACAAGTCGAAATTAAAACTCCACTAGCTTTAAAAGGGACTGACTGTTTGTAATTAGAATTAGATTTGTAATTAACTGAATGGTCATTTTGTACGAAAAAAATGCTTAAACCCTGAGGATTTCTCCATCTTCATGACTAATAGACGTAGTTTTAGCATTATCTTTGTTCTATGACTTATATATTGTCCAAATGCATTTACCTTCGTATTTTGTAGAAACAACTTGGTTACGATTCTCAGCCTTATGTTACCCAATATCTGTGACCATTGATTATAATTGTGCGAACCCTAACTAGATGATCTGCACTTACCTATAAGACTCAGTCCAACAGTCAATGACTTCATGGACCGATAACTTATCTTGGTTTGACCCCCTTCCTTTTTTTTCTTTGAACATATTCCTAGACCAACGAACATCACGAGTCGAGGTGGGCCATGACTGAAAATACAAATTACATGTCCAAATTATCTTAATCGATGAAGATTCACAACATTATTGACTGATTGATTTACCTAATACTATAGATATAACCTCAGTATTTGTCTTATGATAATTCAAACACATATGAACAGTGCTTCAACGTTCACGTACACAGTACCTAATTTATTTATTTATTTGAACACATAAATATTGGTACACTGGGGCACCAGATACAAATGCGCCACGCAAATCTCATTTAATTTTTGTAAGGGCTGTGATACTGTCCAGGTGCCCAAACCGAAGTAGGTGGTATTCCTAGGGGGCCACACCCGGAGCTTTTGACCTAAAGGTCTAATCCACAAGGCAGTGGAGCATCGTAATGAGATGCGATCCCATGGCAGCCGGTAACCAACGACTGGTTTATACACCATGTGTTGCTTCAGGAGACTGGAGCCCATGTGCACCATTGGTTTGGAATCAGGGTTTTTCAACTCCCCTAGGTGGACTCTCCATGTCCATCAACCCGGTTAAGACTCAACAAATAATACCAAATACATTTTATTGTAGTTTACTTCATAAAATCTTTTGAATAATAAGGTGAACAAAAAAAATTAAGAATAAAATTGTTGTACAAAGATAATGCAATACTTCTATTTCACAAATGGTTAAAAAAAAGGAGAAACAATAACTGTTTATTTTTAAAAAAAAAAGAAGAAGAAACTGATTGTATGTAATATTGAGACATGGATCAACGACAATAAATGATACATTTAAACAAATCAGTCTATTGAATGGGAATACAGATATGTCAAGTGGGTTTTTTTTGTTTCTATGACCAGCCAAACATATAACCTAATGCTTTAGAAAATAATCCTGAATCTCTATCCTGTCGAACCTATTCAATGTGATGAAGAAGAAGGAGAAGAAGAAAAAAAAGAGGATAATGATGAATGAAACAATTAGTTTCAATGAAGTTAAAACGATAATATATAAATCTATTTTGTTAGTAGGAAGTATAAATACAGTGGGTTTTGAGATAGTAGATAAATGATTAGTGAAAAGTTGTGAAGTGGTTGATTAATCTAATCTATAAAACAATTACTTCTTTAGAGACACAAAACTGTCAGTCATCTACAACGTAGGACCAGGAACATATATACATCGGTCCAAGTTGCCATACCTCATTAGCACAATAAGATTAACACCAAATTCATAGAAGTAGTTAATTCAGTGGTGGTAATATATAGAAGAAAGATTGCCTATAACGATATAATACAGGAAGAAAGATATGAAGTGATTTTAATCTTTTAGTTTAAGGGAAGACAAAGAGTGTATTCATCTACGCCATTGTGATCGATTCTGAGCCATGTCATCCACAGTCTACAACCATTGGTTACGATAGTCACGCGGATCTCAACTAAGTAGTCTGCATTTACCTACATGGCTCATACTAAAAGTTAGTAACTTTCTGGACTGATTCCACGTTTTGGTTTGGCCGCCCCTAGCCCACTGGACATAAGAATTATCTAAATTCAAGCAGGATTAATCTATTCTATGTTTGAATTAGAGAGAATATTAAGTAAGACTCTACTTGGAGACAAATCTGGTAAGAGAAACACATTTTAAGGCAAATCACATTAATTATCTTAGTTATCTTTATGTTTTCCGCCTATGCCAATCACATTAATCTTACTGATGCAGTTAATAATTTGTTCAATATAATGAACAACCCACTTTTTCATGAAAACTTCTCACATTTTCTGCTGACTATTAACCAGAACACCAAATGAGTTGAGTCAAACAATCTTTCATTAGTTCGGCAATATAAATTACATACCAGCTCACAATAAGTACAAGGATAAGTTTGTTTTTGACGTAAATTTGAGCGATAGATTTATAGTTAATTAAAATATTATCAGAAGATGATTTTGTGGAAATTTTAGCAATTTAATAGTTGAATTCACGAGTTAATTAAAGCTAGGCCACCATAGAAAACCTGGAAGGACTAGACGACCGTTTCGTCTTAGTATGGGACATCTCAGCAGTGTGCATCTACGATTGGTTGAAGTTACACATGAACACTGTTGAATGCCGGCTCATTGATCTAGAGGTTAAGCGTTCGCGTGCGAGACCGATAAATCCTGGGTTCGAGTCCCGAGGGGTGGGATCGTGGATGCGCAACACTGAGGAGTCTCATACTAGGACAAAAAAAGCCGTCAAATCCTTCCAGGTTTTCCATGATGGTCTAGATTTAATTGACTCATGAATTCAACTATTAAATTAAAATATAATTTAGGAACAATAAAGAAAATTTTGTCATATCTAATTCGTTGAAGAACAGGGTTAGATAGAAAAATATCATAAAACAACTGTTTGGTAAATATTTATCAAATAAATAGAAAACCAAACTGATTCACCAATGAACAGTTATCCAAGTTGAATAATGTCTTTTTTTGTTCTAGTCTTTTTCTTATTAAAAAAACGACAATTAATGAGTTAGTTAAGCCTATTAACTAAAAACTATAAGAAGGATGTTAAATGAAGTCTGAGAGAGGTTGATATCTGCGAGAATATCGTCACTTATATACATTTATTTAATACACATAGATACTTGTACTCCTGAGGATCAAAAATACTAAGTGCCATGCAGAAGAAAGAGGTGATATCGTGAAGAAATAAAGGAGTACAATTAAAAGATGACTAGATAAGAACAGTATATCATGCGATTGATACTTTAGCTCGACATATTATATTTCCTGGTTAGCGTTTTTTATTTAGTATTTTACGGGATGGGGTCGCTAACCCATTGTCCAACCCTCCTCCTTTATCCGGGCTTAGGGCCAGTAGTAGCCCCAGGGGACTCCAGACCTCAGTTAAGAGAATCCCTCTCACTTTTATGAAGAATGTAAAAGAAAACCGCCGTAGGATATTACAATTAGCTTCTATTCCGAGTCATGTCTCATAACACTTCAAGTCACTGAGTTACACCACCTCTAGAACTGCTAACGGAGAGTGTTGGTGAACTGACAGATGCCAGTTCTATGGAGCTTTCTTTCATACCACTATGTCATATCATAGCTTCAAACACCTTTGAACTGATCCCACACAATCTTACTGTCAACAAATAATTCCCGTCGTGGAAGTTGCTGAGATTATATTCATAAAACAAGTCCAATCCATTAAGTCACCCAAGAAGTTTCCCAGTGTAGCACATTGAAAGTTAAGAGAAAAACAAAATAGTCTTTAATAATTTTTCTTCTTCGTGGTGATAACTGTTATGAGAATACATGTATTTCATCGGTAATTTCTTTAAAATATTCCTCGTGTATAACAAGACTATCAAATAAGTAATATTTAAGTTAATCTTGACAAACTTGAGTTAAAAACTTAGATCGACTAGCTGAAAAGTGTTGCGAAACGTGGTCACTAAGAGTAGAAGATACACGTAAGCTACTAATATTTGACCACAGATGTCTTAGAAATATTGCTCGCATCTGCTGGGATCACCGAGGGGTAAGTAACAGTGAGGTTAGACGCAGGGTATTAGGGAATGATGGTAAATCAGTAGATGAGGTTGTGAATCTTCATCGACTGAGATGGTTGAGCCACGTGTTGTGTATGCCTGAACACCGATTACCACGTCGTGCAATGCTAACCGGTGTTGGGGATGGTTGGAAGAAAGTCAGGGGTGGCGAAAATAAAACGTGGAATCAGTTCACAAAGTCACTAACTTTTAGTATGAGCCATGTAGGTAAATGCAGACTACTTAGTTGAGATCCGCGTGACTATCGTAACCAATGGTTGTAGACTGTGGATGACATGACTCAGAATCGATCACAATGGTGTAGATGAATACACTCTTTGTCTTCCCTTAAACTAAAAGATTAAAATCACTTCATATTTTTCTTTCTACCGACTAATTCTTCCTTCCTGTACTATATCCTTATAGGCAATCTTTCTTCTATATATTACCACCACTGAATTAACTACTTCTATGAATTTGGTGTTAATCTTATTGTGCTAATGAGGTATGGTAACTTGGACCGATGTGTATATGTTCCTGGTCCTACATTGTAGCTGACTGACTGACTGACTTTCTCTAATGTACTAATGAAAATACAGTAAATTGAATAAAGATTTTATATTACACTTATTCTCATTTCATATCCTTTAACCTATGAAACTGATACAAAGCATTACATCAAGTACTCGATGAAATATTAGACCAGTGGTATTTAGGACAATGGTAGCTTTTTGAATGTGATTACACAATTCACTGATTATGTACATAACCCGGTGAATTTTAAACTATGACAAAAAGAGCTAATCAGTAATTATTAAGTAATATCAATGAGTCGTATTAACTAAGATCCTTGAAAATAAACTTCACAACACAGTAGTAACTAAACATAGATAGAGTGAGGAGTCCTACACTGAGATGAAACACCCGTTTAGTCCTTCTTCGTTTTTAATGATAGTCAGTCTAGTTAGGATCAGTTTGTGATTTAAACGATGGGAGTTTGATAACAATTCAATAATAAGACTTACACTAGTAGTTCGTGATAAATTTGTTGGTCGTGTCGATGCAGCTAATGATCGCATAGAATTATGTCTTCCAATATTATTTGCTGATTTGTCTGCAAAAATATTAGCAGAATCAGTGCCAGAGTTAGTTGCACCATTACCAACGCCGCCGACACCATTCAACGACCTTAGTCCGCTTAAGTCGCGTAATGGTGTTTTATTCATTGCACCGGTTGTTGCTTTACAGTTTTCGTCAGTAGTACGTTTCATATTCATTGGATTATGATGAACATTTGATGGACTAAGGAATAAGGAATCATTCATGCTACATGGGTTTGTTTGCTTTGAAAACAGGCCACACTTTTCATCATTCATAACTTCCTACCAATAAAAGAGAAAACATATTTGAAATAAGAATGAAAATGACACGGAAAAAATAATAGAAAAGTACGAAGCTAAAAGAGATAGGCTATGAATTCATGGATAAATATGTAACGTGATTTAATAATGCTGGTGGTTTGTTTTCGCTAACCAGATAGTCACAACCCAAGATGATTTGGAGGTACTGCATTGAAGTATGGGAATGAACAATCGGGGGCGGTGGTGATAGTTAATCTGATGCTATTATCTTGTAATACAGGTCTCGGTTGCTTAGATATATTTTATCAATGTGATCCCAGTGGCTTCCACATTGGGAATTATTTGTTGATAGTAAGATTGGGTGGGATAAGTCGAGAGGTGGTCGAAGTTATGACATAACATATTGATATGAAAGATGCATAGAACTGGCATCTGTCAGTTCACCAACACTCTCCGTTAGCAGTTCTAGAGGTGGTGTAACTCAGTGACTTGAAGTGTTATGAGAGATGACTCGGAATAGAAGCTAATTGTAATAGGTCTATGATGAAGTTAAACAAGAATGGAGAAAGTGGACAGCCTTGATGGACACCATTTGAGGTTGCAAAAGTAGATGACAGTTCGCCATAAGCTCTGACTCGACTGATAGTGTTCGAGTAAAGAGCCTTTACAAGGTTTATGTACTTCTGGGGTACGCCTTTCAATGAAAAACAGTGCCACAGAATCTCGCGGTCTACGGAGTCAAGTGTTGCTTTCAAGTCAAGAAAGACCACCATGGTAAGGTATAAACTGTTTAGTAAGGATTGGGAACTAGTTAGAAGTTAATAAATGAAAACTAGAAAGTGTAGCTTACTTAAATTACTATGAACTAAAAATGAAATTGAATATATGACCTGATGATTGACACTATTGAAAGTAATTTTATAAAATAGGCATAAAACTTCAACGCAAACATGTATATATATATATATATATATATATATATATATATATATATATATATATATATATATATATATATATATATATATATATATATATATATATATATAATTAAAAGACATTTCCACCCTTACCGAATCATTACAGACTGATACACCGACCATGGTATTATCCCCGAATACTTTACCATTTTTATTTAAAGCACAATGAGCTTGCATTTTATTTTGATATTTAATATGCATCCAATTACCACTGTTTGTAATCTAGAAGAAGTTTTGAAAGAAGAAACATAGATATAGATAATACAATGATTATAAACTAGAGACCTTGAAATTGGATAATAATGAATGGAAAATGATTATCATCAATTATTTAAAGGATTATTATGATTGTCAACAAATGGAATTAGACATGAGAATTCCGATATCGTGTTACATATATTCTTTGATGAATTGCGATAATAACAGTGGTACTGTGGTGTGAGCTACTTATGACTCACATAAGTAGTATATAACGATAGTCAGGATTAGAATGTATTTCAGTAGAAGATCGATAAGGAAAGGACGGAAACGGAACGCAATTGGCATGAAAATGCACGAACAATGAAATCTGTGACGATGGACTGATACTTGCAAAAGAAACAGTCAAGTTTGAGACGACTGGTTGATATTTTGCAAATTAAATATTTACTGTATGGTTCTCAGATTTTAGTGAGATATTCTGTAATTTCGTGTTCAAATGCATTCAATTGCCCCCACTTGTGTTCTAGTTTAATACAGTACTTCGTGACTAATTATGAATTGTTCGCCATGTTACGCCCGTCTTGCTTCACTAAACACAAGTAAATCTAATCACTATGGGATATGTGCGAGAATTCTAACCGAATGTGATTCGAGTGTTAAACTCTTGAAAATGTGAAGATGAGTTTTGCCTAGATGTACCTTATCACTGAATACAATTAAAATAGTAAATTCATAAGAAATCATAAGTTGATCGGGATTTAAGAAATAAGGGATAGAATATTTTTGGACTCTGAAACAACATAAACCCACAATTTTACAAGTGATTCGGTCCAGGAATCCAACCCAGTGATCTAAAGGTACAGTAAATGTTCCGAAAACTGCAGGTGGCTCTTGGGTTCAACAGTGTATTATATTGCGCCGTTCATTGCAAAAAGGAGCCCGTAAACAAAAAACATCTGATGTTGACCATTTTGCCAATTGCTCTTCAGTTCGTTACACGAACCATCTTCAGACCACACAAATCTCTTTACTAAACACCTTATTCAATGAGAATTATGCGTTACAATGTGCTATTGCGTAATCAGTATTATTAACTGACTGGTTGTCTATCTATTCTCTGTATTAAGTAACCTATTCCCTGTTCCCACTTCTACGCTTTTATTTTATTTTATTCTCTGTATATGCTGAGTCAAGAGCTCTCGTTTTATGTTTTATTCTTAATTTTAGATATTCATAGGCTGACCAAACCAAAATCACTTGACCGATACTAAATTTATATTCAGTTACAAAATCTATCGACCAATGTACAGTTATAACTAAGAGGTAATTAAGAAAAAAAGAGCTCAGACTGCATAAATAGTCATTTAATTTGATTATTAAAGAGTTATACTACTGAATCACAATAAGTACTATGAGTTAAAACACAAAAGATATAAAACCACACACTAACCACATGTTTTTCTATTGTACCCAATTGAGCGAACTGGTTAAGAATAAATGCAGCTCGTGATGGAGGGAACCTAAATTTAGGTCGTGATAAGATAGAAGAAAACTTTTTTGAAATTTGGACATAAAGCAGATCATAAATCATAACCTACTAAATGCGAGATAGCTTACGATAGGTTACATTTTATTGCTTACATTTATTCATCTACCATTTCAGCCAGTCAATCACAAACAACGTAGAACCTGGCATAAAACTGCGTAAGCTTAATTTCTCATACCATGCTAACACAATGAGTTGGAGTTATCAAAATGAACACCAAAGAATAAATGCATCTAAACCACTCCAACTAATTCTGAGCCATGTCACCCAACCCCTCAAAACATTGGCAACGGTTAACGCGCGGACCCTAATCAGGTAATCTGCATCTACTAACATACTCTAGTTCAGTGGTTGACGACTCCATGGAATGATAACACATATTGATTTAGCTACCTCTTGTTTTCTTCCAACATATTACCATTCCACCCGACAGTGTGCATTGAGGTAAGTGGCTGGGCGTACATAAAATATGTTCCAACTACCTAGGTGATAAGGTTTCTTGATGTACCATCTCTAACTAATAGCTTACGTTTAACCTACGAGCTGCTTACTTACCACATACGAGCAATCCTTCGAAAAATTTTCTGATTAAATACGACCAAGTCATACAATTTCGAAATAATTAAAGCTGTTTTGCAGCCCCAAAACAATACAGAAAAAACTGTTGTATAGCATTTTTGCTTATTGATAGGTGGATGGATATCTTAACTATGCAACAAACGGTTCGAGTTAGCAAAAGGTATATGAACCTTTTTGAGAGTGATGGGATTTCGTAGGTCAGAAAGCTGCTGCAAATAAAATTTTCTTGGTAAAATAAACAACTTCACTTCCTACGGCCAAATTAGGGATTAACACATTCTTAGTTTTGAACCTCGATTTAGCTACTTCGGTTTAGGTAGCCGGAGAGTATTATTAACCTTTACAATTGAAGCATGGCTCAAAGTCAAGTACATGAATCGATACCTGGAGATGAGTTAATAATAATATTCACATTTAAAGTGCCTTTATTACTACACTTGGCATGAGTAACCTTAAATGTGTACTGTAATAATGTTAACATAGAGAAGGATACATAAAATAGTCGACACACATACCCGAAAACAGTTACCCAACAATCGTGTGGATTCGCATTATCAAAGTCGTTGGAACTAATAAACATGAAAAAACAAATAGGAAAGAATAATAAGGTTAAATGAATAATAGTTAGCAATGCTTGCTTAGAAATCATTCATGTAAAGTAATTACGTACAGGTTTATATCAATTAATTAGTAGATTCTGCTTTGTGAAACTATTTCATTAGCTTATTTTGATGGATAAGTAACAGGGAAAAAATTAACTTCATAAAGATACTCGACATAATCGAATAAACATGTACATGGTTGTGGTTCTTAGTGCAAGCTAGTAATAACAGACAAAAAGCAAAGGGGATTTTCGATGTCTGCAGGTTTTTGGATATACTATAGTGTAAACCTGACAGTAACAAGTACTGACAAGACCTTCTGAATAATAATACATTTTTAACTGCAAATCAGAGAATATGCCACCCGTTTTATGGCATGAAAAGTGAGAATCTGATCAGGGCGACATTTATTTGAGCTCATATAAATTACTTGGGAGTAAAGTCAAATTGTTATTAGCTTTTCATAACCAGGATCACTTCCGTTACTTTAGTGTAGCATGTTACCCACAAAGCTCATTTGAATAAGTGTGCCCAAGTGAACGAGTAAAGTAAATATTTGGAGAAATGGGTTACCTTCGATGTGAAAGCAAAGCCTCCGCTAAACGATCAGGTGTACTAATAACATCTTGCTTCTTATTCCCATCGTTTATATTTGCAAGAATACTGTTATTATGGAGTGGTGACCCAGCTAAAGGTGGGCGATTATTTACAACATTATGCAAAGGTGTTCGATGATAACTAGAATCACCCGGCGACTGGAAAGGACTAACACCTATTTGTTTTACAGGAGGATTCGTCGATGAACCAAGAGTATAATTTGGTGTACTGTGTTTTATTCCACCGAAATTGTCTGCGCTGGGCTTTGAACGGACACCAGCACCACCAACGGTTGACCACATACTTCGTGTAGGAGGTGATGTTAAACGACGTCCAATTGAATCATGAGCTTGACTTAAATAGCGTGGTTGCAGTTTGTTGTTATACTGTGAAGCCTAGAAAAATATATAAATAAATCAGATGAACGATTGATGTAAAAAAAGTGTTCATAGTTGTAACTTCTCAAATAAAATAGGTCCCTATCAAAATTATGCGAAAATCGATTAGTTCGAATCGCTTACAATTTGAAACAAAAAAGTGATTTGGAAATACAAGCAAAAAGCTTAACAATAGTGGATCACCACATAACGACTCTATATATGGCAAAGAATTATTATTTATTTATTTGAACACAGAAATATTGGTACAAGAGAGCACCAAATATAAATGCGCCACAAAAAACAATGGAAATTCGAAGAGAAAAAAAGAAGGCAAGGAGCGTAAAACAAACGAACAATAACGAACAGATTAGTGTAAGGTAGTGTAATAATAATAATAATAACAGCAATAATGTGGAAAACGGAAAAGTATAATCAGAAGAAATCTTTCGGTTAAGGAAGAAACAACCACCACTTATGAAGAAAGTAAGAGGTTACAGCAGGATCGCCACTAGCTTCTATTCTGAGCCATATCTGATAACGTCTCTAGCCACTGTGTTGCACCATCTCTAGGACCTCAATCAGGAAGTTGTGAAGGACCAACAAAAGCCAGTCATGCACAACATTCTTTTATATCTCAACACTATGTCATATACTGACCACCTCTCCGCTTCTTCCAACCAGTCCCAGCATCGACAAATAATGCACGACGTGAAATTCTCTGGGACGACATTCGTAGAACATGTCCAAGCCACCAAAGTCGATGTTTCAAGATGGTGATACCAATTGGATTATCGTCTCTGCGCCCGAACACACGATACCAAACCTCTGCATTACTAACATGGCGTTGCCACTGGATGTCAGCAATCCTTCGGAGACAACGATGATCGAACACAGAGAGTCGTCTAACATCCTCAACTCGAAGAGGTCAGGTTTCACAAGCAAAGAAAAAAACTGCTCTCACCGGCGCATTATAGATCCGACCTTTCACAGCCAAACTAACATCACGAAGGCGCCAAAGATGACCCAGATTGGCATAAGCCACTCCGGCTTTCACTAGAGAACAGTCCTGTCCAACGAATCGAAGGCAAACCTGATTTTAAAAAAGACTATTATAAGTATGGTGGTTTTCTAATATTTGGCGGAGGGTGAAGATATGATCAATACATCCTCGACCAGAACGAAAACCAGCCTGCTCCTCGTTAGTTAATCTTTCTCGGGTTTTCAATAACCTACGAAGTATGGCGGAGGCCAGTAGTTTGGACGCAATCGGAAGCAGACTTACTCCCCATAGTGGTTACAGAAGCGACGCAAACCCTTTTTAAAAATAGGGACAACTATCGATTCATTCTACGACGTTGGAACACTCTAGCCAGAAACAGGTTGTGGTCTGCCCACAGTTGCAGTAGACGGTCCCGTTATCTGTCCTGCGATCAACAAGTCCCCATCGGCCACCTAAACGACTCTCTTCTGTGCCTAGACGCCCGACCTGAGAATTCAAGTCTCCGGCTAGTACTACAATATCTATCGAACGCACATTCTGGAGAAGAACAGTTAACTGGTGGTAGAATTCATCCTTGATTGCATCCGGGCTGCAATCTGTCGGAGCATAGGCGGAGATGACGAAAAGACATCGTTTCTCACGCCGATTTCTTCTTATTTTGATGGAACATTCTAATCTAACAACACATGACCGACTGTTAATGGGGATCCAAGCGATTAGTGCTGCCTCAGCTCTAGCGCTTAGTGCGACACTAACGCCAGCAAGACCAGACGAAGATGCCACAGGGTCCCCGGATAAACGCACGCGACAGATGGGGAGCGAATTTGTAGTACTTCACCAGAGTCTTGAATACGGGTCTCGGATGGACAACAAACGTCGATACTAAGACTTTCCAAAGATATAGCCAGCCCTATCTGTTGTCCGACCTGCATACGCGTGCGAACGTTGAAGGCAGCCAGTTTGAATGGTGCACGTGGTTTCAGAAAAACTGTCTCAGCATTCGTGTTCGGTGGAAGCACTCAACTCTCGGCCACACAGTGACTCAAGGTCGTTTAGATAGGACAGGGTTCTCACCACAGGGGAGTTGCTGTGCAAATTAAAAATAAGGATACATGAAGTGGAAACAAAAGAGATTGAATAATTGACGTAGTAAATAACAATAATAGTAATAATGTGAATCATTTGATTGTTAATCGAAGCAATACAAGTACCTTCCATGAATATCGACATTTCATCATATTTGTGTGTGGGCTGTGATACTATCCGGGTGCCCAGACAGAATCACGTGGTTTTCTTTGAGGGCCACACCCCGAGCCTTTGACCTAAGGGTCTGGCCCACACGGCAGTGGAGCATCGTGAGGAGATGCAGTCCCATGGTAGCCGGTGCCCAACGATTGGTTCATACGCCATTTTTTCCCGCAGGATACTGGAGCCCATGTGCAACATTGGTTTGGGATCCGGTTAAAACGCCGGACATTCGTTTTTCGTCCTCTCATTTTCGTAAACAACACCCCTGTCACCAGAAGGCAGTGCGTATGACTTCCCCGGCAGAGGCTGTATACGCGTGGCCTTGTGAGAGTATTTCGAGAGGGAGGGAGGGCCCACCCCACTCTCGGCCATACCAGGGCATTTGGGGGCAAAGTTCAAGAGGACAAATATCATCAACCTACATTCAATTGTTCGAATGAGGTACACCTAGTGTGTGGAAGTTAACACGAAAAATATATGGCTTGTTAAGCATCAACTGGATTAGATTATCATTACTAACCAGTCATACCTCAGGTATAAGAAGCACTGCAAACACGACTCTTAACAGATGGTCTAAAAGATTGTTTTTGATCTATGAGAAATATCTGTACCAGTATTTATCTAACCAGCAACTTTTGCTGTCCCAACGATCACGTTCAACAGGATTTAATATTTCATGACTTTCACAACCCATTAAAACGCTAGACGTTGTGAATTGTGCATAGTGCGTAAAAACCCATGAAATCATCTAGTTCAGTCAGTCAGTAACAACGTAGAACTTCGTACGTACGTACATCAGTTCGAGTTGCCACACCACCTTAGCACAGAGATGCAGTTGTCGATTCAAATCCCGTAGTGGTAGAGGTAATAAGAGTATAAGCAGTAATCGGAAACATTAGGGTTTGGAGATGTTATTTAAAGAGTATAATCCAGTGAAATAAATTTGGAAAGAGAAAAAAGGGACATGAAGAATTCAGAAGATTAGAATTTGGGAGAACACAAAGAGTGGATGCACCTGGGCCATTGCAAACGATTTTGAGCCATGTCATTCAGGGTCTCTAACCATCGGTTGCTGTCATCTCGCGGTCCCCAACCAGGTAGTCTACACCTACCAACATGACTCAGTTTCACTTGTCAGTGACTTCATGGACTTGTGCCATGTTTTGGTTTGGCCGCCCCTAGCTTTCTTCCAACCTACTCCTATACCACTGAACATAGCCTGTCGAGGCAGTCGGTCGTTGGGCATACGTAACACGTGTCCCAGCCATCTCAACTGATGAACTTTCACCACTTCATCAATGGATTTGCCATCCTTACCTAGTACCCGTTTCCTAACACCTGCGTTACTTACTTGATGGTCCCAGGAAATACGAGCAATGTTTCGAAGACATCTATGATCGAATACTAGTAACCTACGAATATCCTATACTCTTACCGGACATGTCTCACTGCCATAAAGTAGGACGGAACGAACTGCTGCACAGTAAACACGTCCTTTGGTTAATAGACGGATATCTCGCCTACGCCATAAATGACGCAAGTTGGCAAAAGCTAGTCGAGCCTTCGCCCCCTGAATGCCCTGGTACGGCCGAGAGTGGGGAGAGTCCGCTCTCCCTCTCGAAATACTCTCACACGGCCACGCGTATATAGCCTCTGCCAGGGAAGTCCTACTCATTGCCTTCTCGTGGCGGGGGTGTTGTTTACGAAAATGAGAGGACGAGAAGCGAATGTCCGGCGCTTTAACCGGATTCCAAACCAATGGTGCACATGGGCTCCAGTATCCTGCGGGAACGAATGGCGTATGAACCAATCGTTGGTCACCGGCTACCATGGGACTGCATCTCCTTACGATGCTCCACTGCCTTGTGGGTTAGACCTTTAGGTCAAAGGCTCGGGGAGTGGCCCCCTAAGATAACCACCTGCTTCGGTTTGGGCACCCGGGCAGTATCACAGCCCACACACAAATGATGAACTGTTTATGTCTATGGAAACTACTTTTGTCGCTTTGAAAAACAATCAATTGACTCAAATTATGATCACTTCAATTATTGTCATTATTAATAATAATATTATTATTACTACTATTATTGTCATTATTGTTATTATTATCATTATTATTATTATTTTCCACATTATTCACCTTCTTTTATACTTATACAGCGGCTCGTCTTTGGTGGAATTCCGACTGTATCTAAACGTTCTCGAGTCACTGTCCGGTTGAAAATTGTATGTTACCACCGAATACGAGGACTGAAGCAGATTTTCTGAAACCACGTGCATCATTCAAACTGGCTGCCTTCAACGTTCGCACATTTATGCAGGTCGGACAACAGATAGGGCTGGCTATGTCTTTGGAAAGTCTTAATATCGACGTGTGTTGTCTATCCGAGACCCGTATTCAAGACTCTGGCGAAGTACTACAAATTCGATCTCCATCTGTCGCTTCGAAAAGCTTGTTTTACGTGCGCTTATCCGGGGACCCTGTGGCATCTTCGTCTGGTTTTGCTGGCGTTGGTGTCGCACTAAGCGCTAGAGCTGAGGCAGCACTAGTCGATTGGATCCCCATTAACAGTCGGTTATGTGCTGTTAGATTAGAAAGTTCCATCAAAGTGAGAAGAAATCGGCGTGAGAAACGATGTCTTTTCGTCATCTCCGCCTATGCCCCGACAGATTGCAGCCCGGATGCAATCAAGGATGAGTTTTACCACCAGTTATCAGTTCTTCTCCAGAAAGTGCGTTCGACAGATATTGTAGTACTAGCCGGAGACTTGAATGCTCAGGTCGGGCGTCTAGGCACAGAAGAGAGTCGTTTAGGTGGCCGATGGGGACTCGTTGGTCGCAGGTCAGATAACGGGGACCGTCTACTGCAACTTTGCGCAGACCACAACCTGTTTCTGGCTAGCACTAACTTTCGGCACAGTCATCGCCGATGTGCCACCTGGCGTCCTCCCTCTGCATCTCAAGCCTGGACTCAGATTGATCACATCGCGATCAGCTACCGCTGGCGTGGTTGTGTACAAGACTGCCGCTCCTTTTGGAGTACCTATCTGGACTCTGACCATGCCTTGGTCTGCGCCAATCTTGCCTTACTTTTCAGTGGACAACGAAGTGAACGCCATCAACGGATTGATGTTAGCAAGCTGGTTGCAACTTCTGTTGCAAGTAAGTATCGAACCGAGCTAGCCTCTAGGCTAGCTACCACTCCACCGAAAAGTATAGATGAGCATTGGTTGCAATTGCATGACGCCATGAAAATGGCGGGAACAGTCAGTTGTGGGTTTGCGAAACGTCCCGCTTTTAAGCACTGGGTTTCTTCTGGTTCCTTACAACTCATTGAAGCCCGTCGGTCTACCATAAACGAAGGTTTTTACGTAAGGAAATCGGGCAAAGCTTGCGTAAGGACCGAGAAGCCTGGTGGTCGATGCGTGCTAATGAGCTGGAAGCAGCAGCTGCATCTGGTAACTACCGGAAGCTCTTCCAACTCATCCGAGCCACTGGCAGCAAGAAGTCTGGTGTGAGTGAAACAATCTGCGAGGATGATGGGATGCCAATCACTAACATCCATCGACGTCTTGGACGATGGGCAGAATTTTTCGAAGGGCAGTTCAACTGGCCTGCTGCTCCGGCAACATCGGTCAGACTGTCCTGCCCTCCATGGCCGGTGACGACTGATCCACCAAATGAGGAGGAAGTCCGCAAGGAACTCCAACTCTTGAAGCGTTACAAATCACCTGGCCCAGATGACTTACCTCCGGCTCTTTTTAAAGATGGTGGTGACTTTTTGACTAAGGAATTGACGACGTTGTTTACAAAGATTTGGGATCTAGAGAGTGTACCAACGTCATGGAATGAGTCGATAGTTGTCCCTATCTTTAAAAAGGGTTCACGTCGTTCTTGTAACAACTATCGGGGGATAAGTTTACTTCCGATTGCGTCCAAGCTATTGGCTTCCGTCATTCTTCGTAGGTTGTTCAAAACCCGAGAAAGATTGACTCGCGAGGAGCAGGCTGGGTTTCGTTCTGGTCGAGGATGTATTGATCATATCTTCACCCTCCGCCAAATGTTAGAACACCGCCATACTTTTCAAAGGCCAACAATCGTAGTGTTTCTTGACATCAGGGCTGCCTTCGATTCGTTGGATAGGACTGTTCTCTGGGATTGTCTATTGAAGAAGGGTGTGCCTGAGAAGTTTATTAACATCCTAAAAGCCCTGTATAAAAACACCTCAGGCAGAGTGAGGGCATACAACCACCTCTCTCCATTGTTCCATTCGAGCAGTGGGGTTAGGCAGGGTTGCCCAATCTCACCATTCCTCTTCAACTTTGCCATCGATGACATTCTGGAAACAGCTCTGATGAATGTAAGTAATGGTGGTGTGGATCTGTTGCCTGGAGAAAGACTTCTCGACCTTGAGTATGCGGACGATATTGTCTTACTGTGCGATAATGCCCAAGGCATGCAATCCGCACTTAATCAGTTGGCAATCAATGTCCGTAGGTATGGTATGTGCTTTGCACCTTCGAAGTGCAAAGTACTTCTACAAGACTGGCAGGATTCTAATCCTGTACTCACCCTGGATGGTGAGCAGATAGACGTAGTTGAGAAGTTCGTGTATCTGGGTAGCTGCATAAGTGCTGGTGGGGGTGTGAGTGATGAGATCAATGCACGAATAGTGAAAGCCAGAGCGGCTTATGCCAATCTGGGCCACCTTTGGCGCCTTCGTGATGTTAGTCTGGCTGTAAAAGGCCGGATCTACAACGCGTCGGTGAGAGCAGTTTTGCTCTATGCTTGTGAAACCTGGCCTCTCCGAGTTGAGGACGTTAGACGACTCTCTGTGTTCGATCATCGTTGTCTCCGAAGGATTGCTGACATTCAGTGGCAACACCATGTCAGTAATGCAGAGGTTCGGCATCGTGTGTTCGGGCACAGAGATGATAACTCAATTGGTGTCACCATCTTGAAACACCGACTTCGGTGGCTTGGACATGTTCTCCGAATGTCGTCCCAGAGAATTCCACGTCGTGCATTATTTGCCGACTCTGGGACTGGTTGGAAGAAGCGGAGAGGTGGTCAGTGCATGACATGGTGTCGTGGCATGAAAGAAAGCTGCAAAGGACTGGCTTGTGTTGGTCCTTCACGACTCCCTGGTTGGGGTCCGAGAGATGGTGCAACACAGTGGCTAGAGACGTTATCAGATATGGCTCAGAATAGAAGCCAGTGGCGATCCTGCTGTAACCTTCTTTTACTTTCTTCATAAAAAGTGGTTGTGTCTCCTTTACCTGAAAGATTTCTTCTGATTGTACCTCTTCGTCATTACTCTCTTTTTCTTTTGCGTTCCTTAGTTTTTTTTTTTTTCTTTCTACTTCTCTTCGAATTCCCATTGTTTTGTGTGGCGCATATATATTGGCGCTCTCTTGTACCAATATTTATGTGTTCAAATAAAAATAAATAAATAAGTCGAGCCTTCTGTATCCGTGCTGAGATTTCGTCACATATTAGACCACATGGGCTGATGAGACTTCCAAGATAAGTGAAGCGGTTGATACGCTCAACTACTTTACTCCCTATCATTAGTTCGGGTGTCGATGCAACCCAATCCTGAAGCAACATTTTGCATTTCGAGGGGGGAAATCGCATGCCGAACATGCTTGCATTGTTGCTGACCAATGCAAGCATGTTCGGCATGCGATTCTGAAAACTGCCAAATAAAATCGTTTTTAGTTTATGATTTAGTAGTTAAGACGAATGGCTATACTTCGGAGCTAGCAAGGTTGCCCCTACTATCCAGCAACGCCGTGGGGAGGCCTTAGGTTGGATTATGCTGCCACTTCAAAGACACATAGTAATATTGTTCGGATGCTCATAACGTCGTAGAACTGTGTTTTTTCCTAATCTGATCACCGTTGCATCTTCCAAGTTCATTGGAACTCACTTGTTAAAGCAGAAGAATAGCATGCACTCCTTAAAAATAGTTCCACGGTGCGTCACAGTACAACTGTGACGATTACTAATCCGTTTCACTAGAGAATATGAGACCAATCAAAACAGTTATCGATTGGTGTGATTTCAACTACATCCTTATTTAAAAAAGACAATAAATAAGATTCAGTTTACTTATAATATGCATTATATTATTAAATTGCTTTATGCCATGACCATGAACTATCATATAATCGGTTGTCATTCAACTATCAAGACACAGGTGTACTGTTCCCAAACATAGCAAATAACAAAAAACATGTTGGTTAGGTCCAATTACTAGAATTAGGAACAATTACCACCATGAAATCTAAGTAGCTTATAGGTGCTTATACTCACTAAACTGTGAGTTTAGATATTATATAGATAACATAACTATAAAACCTCCCTCAACATAATAATTGAAAAACTCACTGGTATATTGTGCGAATTCCCAGAAAGTGAAAATGCATTTTGGCGTGAAACTTTAGATTCTGAGCTTGTCGACACCGTCTCTAAGACCTGTGGATTTTCACTCATTAAGAATCCTGGAAGATATTGGCAAGTGCCTGGTGAAGTACTTGACCCTGTCCCAATCGAGTTTACTGGAGGAGAACCTAGAGTCATAGGTTCAGTATGGCTGAAAGCAGAACTGTGCATCGTTCCTCCTTTACAAAAGAAACCACAAATACGACGAGCAAACTTGTAATAAGGTCCAATTTTTATGTCAAATATTTGCATTTAAAACAATCAATGATCACCCTATTACAAACCCCTGGCCCAATTTCGCTGACCCAGAAAACTACTCACTGAAGCGAAACATGCGAAGATGGATCGAAGAGGTGTTAGGGAAAGGAAATTATCGGAGGGCGAACAAAGAACCCCAGCAACCTATTTGTATAAAATCAAACACCTTTTGAGGAATTAGCGATTCTATAACGAATAAGGAAGTTTTCCGACTGTTAAAGTAAGTAAAACGATTGCAAAGTTTTTAGAAGAGTTAAAATATAACGAAACACAGAAAACAGGCAATTAGAAAGCAAAATATATTGGCCTAAAGACTCACTGAACCTATCCATTTACGTGTCCTAGGTGGAACGCCAGTCAAAAACTAAACTAACTGTTAAATGGTTAACGATTTGTCTTTTTTGGTATCCAATATTGTGAAAATATAAGTGACAGAGTAGTTGCTGCTAGTTGCAGCACATCAGAATATTTAAACAGTAGATATTGAGGAATCAATAAAAGCCTGTCTTAATAGAGTGATTCAAGTGATAAAAAAAATTGAAGATTAGCTCCAGATATCGGAGTATTACCTTAGTTCCCCTTAGAGTATTTCATATTGTTTAAAAAACCTGAGTGTTAGACTCGCGAAAAACCCCCGCGGGTAATTATCGGAGAAATAAGGGTCTAAACTTCACTACCTGCGCGGCAATACTCACGTGTAAATGGTTTTGAAACAATCTTAATCCAATATGCTAGACGATTTTCCGGTAGAAAATCCTGTAACATATCTCAGTCTCCCTATTCTTGGGTGGACTTGGTGGTTTTCCACAAAGTCCAATGCTCTTCCTCAAAGTCTAGTGGTTTTCCAAAAGTTTGGGGACTTTCTAAGATCTAGAGAAACTTCGGAAATTTTATGTCATTTACGCTAAACAGGGAGATTAGGGCACTAAAACTTCTGGGGTGTACATCTACGTCTTGTATGTCAGTAGTCCGAGTTTCAGGACTATGTGCAGATGTTCAGAAACTATCGACATATGGAAGTTGTGGAGGTAAGGAAGAATACAAAATGATGCTAGTAGATAGCTTTTCTTATCTCAGAATCAAATTCTGCTGGAAAAAGGATGCCATAAATAACGGTATTTAAAGCACTCTAAAGTACATAAATAAATTTAACCACAACGAAAATTCGCATCGCCACAATACTAACACCAACGGACCACAAGTGACCTTGTGGTTATAGATCCCACTAAATGACCCAGAAAAAAAGTTTAAACAATGCAGAATTCCTGATTTCAAACTACTCTCACTTGCCTCAAACAAGTTTCTTTAATTGTTAATTGCTTAGCATTCAACCAGCCTGCAGGCCATACTTCTGACCACATCGACAAATCCAACATAACCAGGTTTGTTGTTACTCGCTATTTCCCGAACAGTCGTTGCCTTCTTTCCATTTTTCTTTCAGTTCAGTAATATCCGGGGGGTTATACATCGCTCAGCTAACTCCGGCGCACGACTACTCCCGATGTATTTGGAACCAGTCCAAACGCTTGTTGGATCTGGATGAAATGGCATGGCCCTTTCCAAAATATCCGGGAGTTGTATCACTGAAGATCGGGCAATTTATCGGTCCTGGTCGAGGTCAAGAACAACCAGCGCTCATCAATTAATTGCAAGCCATGCACTGGTCCATGTGACAGTGGTCCCACGGTGTTTCTTGTACTTACTTTTACTAGTATATTTTTGTATTAAGGTTGGTTGCGTTGTATAGTGCCCCCAAATGCCATCCTAACATTGTTCCACTGCCTTGTGGATTAGACCCTTAGGTAAAAGGTTCCGGGTGTAGCTCTCTAAGAAAACCACCGGCTTTTCTTTAGGCGCTCAGACAGTATCACAGCTCACATAGAAATCAAATGGATTGATAATTAAAACTGGAAATTCTATTCTCGCTTCAATTAAAAATTCAGACAATTCAAATCCATTGAAAACGTTCAGTTTTATTTTTACTTTTTTACATACTATATCGCTTATCCACTCTCTTTTATTCTCACTCTGTATTCTTATTTTTAATTTGCACAGCAACTCCCCTGTGGTGAGAACCCTGTCCTATCTAAACGACCTTGAGTCACTGTGTGGCCGAGAGTTGAGTGCTTCCACCGAACACGAATGCTGAGACAGTTTTTCTGAAACCACGTGCACCATTCAAACTGGCTGCCTTCAACGTTCGCACGCGTATGCAGGTCGGACAACAGATAGGGCTGGCTATATCTTTGGAAAGTCTTAGTATCGACGTTTGTTGTCCATCCGAGACCCGTATTCAAGACTCTGGTGAAGTACTACAAATTCGCTCCCCATCTGTCGCGTGCGTTTATCCGGGGACCCTGTGGCATCTTCGTCTGGTCTTGCTGGCGTTAGTGTCGCACTAAGCGCTAGAGCTGAGGCAGCACTAATCGCTTGGATCCCCATTAACAGTCGGTCATGTGTTGTTAGATTAGAATGTTCCATCAAAATAAGAAGAAATCGGCGTGAGAAACGATGTCTTTTCGTCATCTCCGCCTATGCTCCGACAGATTGCAGCCCGGATGCAATCAAGGATGAATTCTACCACCAGTTAACTGTTCTTCTCCAGAATGTGCGTTCGATAGATATTGTAGTACTAGCCGGAGACTTGAATTCTCAGGTCGGGCGTCTAGGCACAGAAGAGAGTCGTTTAGGTGGCCGATGGGGACTTGTTGATCGCAGGACAGATAACGGGACCGTCTACTGCAACTGTGGGCAGACCACAACCTGTTTCTGGCTAGAGTGTTCCAACGTCGTAGAATGAATCGATAGTTGTCCCTATTTTTAAAAAGGGTTTGCGTCGCTTCTGTAACCACTATGGGGAGTAAGTCTGCTTCCGATTGCGTCCAAACTACTGGCCTCCGCCATACTTCGTAGGTTATTGAAAACCCGAGAAAGATTAACTAACGAGGAGCAGGCTGGTTTTCGTTCTGGTCGAGGATGTATTGATCATATCTTCACCCTCCGCCAAATATTAGAAAACCACCATACTTATAATAGTCTTTTTTAAAATCAGGTTTGCCTTCGATTCGTTGGACAGGACTGTTCTCTAGTGAAAGCCGGAGTGGCTTATGCCAATCTGGGTCATCTTTGGCGCCTTCGTGATGTTAGTTTGGCTGTGAAAGGTCGGATCTATAATGCGCCGGTGAGAGCAGTTTTTTTCTTTGCTTGTGAAACCTGACCTCTTCGAGTTGAGGATGTTAGACGACTCTCTGTGTTCGATCATCGTTGTCTCCGAAGGATTGCTGACATCCAGTGGCAACGCCATGTTAGTAATGCAGAGGTTTGGTATCGTGTGTTCGGGCGCAGAGACGATAATCCAATTGGTATCACCATCTTGAAACATCGACTTTGGTGGCTTGGACATGTTCTACGAATGTCGTCCCAGAGAATTTCACGTCGTGCATTATTTGTCGATGCTGGGACTGGTTGGGAAGAGTGGAGAGGTGGTCAGTATATGACATAGTGTTGAGATATAAAAGAATGTTGTGCATGACTGGCTTTTGTTGGTCCTTCACAACTTCCTGATTGAGGTCCTAGAGATGGTGCAACACAGTGGCTAGAGACGTTATCAGATATGGCTCAGAATAGAAGCTAGTGGCGATCTTGCTGTATCTTCATTTGAATGCCTTCCTAAATAGTGACGTAACTTCTTTAATTGGAAGAATTCTTTCTGGTTCTTCTTTTTCTAACTGAGCTGTTTCTTTTATTATTATTATTATTATTTCTCTCTCATGCACTTATTTCTGTTCGTTGTTTTCCTTTTTTTCTTATGCTCAACTTACGTTCTCTGTTTCTTTAAACTCTCGTTATTATTATGTGGCGCATATGTATTTAGTATCCCTTTGTACCAATATGCATGTAACAAATAACTAAAGAAATAAATAACGTGGCTAACGACGTCTCCTAAGTCATTGTGCGTCTGGACAACAGATAGCCGAATGCTATTCACTGTGTATGTATTTGCACCTTGGTGACCAATATGAATCATAATGCACTTAAAGTATTTGTCGGCAACTAACAAATTCTAAACCACCGAGATAATTCCTATGGTTCGCTTTGAAGCTCTGAACTATCACCTTCATTTTTATCGCTCTCCATATCTTGATATCGTCAGTATATAAGAAAACTGTTGATTGTAGGAGATTAAGAATGTAATTTACATTCAGGAGGAACAATTCAGGTTCTAAAACTGTTTTTAGGGGTATTCCGCTAGGCACAGTTTCCTAACTAGACGACTTTAAGTTTGCCCGTATCATTTGTTGACACCAAACTTGTAAGTCCTATGTTTATAACAGCATGTTGCTTGGAACTTTGTCAAAAGCCTTACTGAATCTGCTGAATGCTACATCTATTGATAGCTTTCAATCTCTTAGAGCACATATTTCACTGAATACCAATAAATTTGTGAGACATGAATAACCTGTTCCCAAGCCATGCTGTTTTTTGGAAAAAATCTTATTTTTGTCTAGATACTTAAACAACTCCGAAATATTTTCTTCTAAAATTATTACCACCGCATAGGTTAAGCTTGAGGGTCAACAATTCTCAGGTTTGTGTCTAGTACCGGTTTTGAAGGTAGGACTATTCATAATGAACTCTTATAATTCGTTAACAAGCTTTAGTATCATTTGTATTCCTCAATGGAATCGAGCTCCAAACAGCAGCAAGTACGGCTCTTAATCCGCGGAAACACACATTAGCTGGTATTGTAAGCAAGGACAGGATAGTTATCTGGATGTAATTCTTTCTTTTGTTTCTCCAATTAACATTTTATTCTATGTTAAACCATGGGTTATCCCCTAATATACTTTCTTCCAACCACTGCCTGTCGATTTTCCCGTCTTCGAGTTCCATCGCCAAATAACGAAGACAATACTTAACAAACTTACGATTTTCCATACAGTGATGGCTAGGTATCTGTCTGGACTCTTGGATTTATACTGAATCAGCCAAACGACAAAGTCAGCAGCATCGCGCACATGGGGTTAGTAACAATGATGCACGCTTAAGTTGGTTCCTTTTCGATTTATGTTGTGTCACGGCTGACTTTCTGTATACCAAATTTATCAGACAGTCTACATTTTGAAACTAATCCAGGCGAGTTTTATTAATTTGTGGTGTGATTTGCTATGTTTTTGGCATTTCATAACATGTATACGCTTTCACTTAGACTGGTGATATATATTTCGTATCAACCATTTCCCGAAACCGCTTTCTGCATAAATTATATCATTCAGCTTCAAGTGACAACATACTACTATGAGAAAGTGTGTTGTTCGTAGGAGAACCATATTATATCCAAAATTAATTCGACACTTCTCAGTTCTGACTATCATTTTTACATATTTATCAATGTTGCTAACTACAGCAACCAATTAAGAAAATTCCCGATTATACCTGCCATGTTCTTAACTGTAGTTCCATAGGTCAAGTCTCAACTTTAAAAAATTTTTCCCCCAAGATCCTTTTTCTTGTTGTTATATTCCTCAGCTGAGTACATGTTAACGTGGCTTGTACATGTAACAACTTGGGTTGATTAGTTAAGAGTTGACCCCAAACAACTAAGCATATATCAAAACAATAGAGCTCGAGTAACCATTCTCTTTCTTAATTTGTATGGGCATTTTATTTCCCATTATCTTATATTGGACGTTGAAAGGCCTCATGTGTCTGAACAGGTCACCTCCTGCTCCACGGTGTTCTTGTCCCATGAGCTAAATAAAGACCTATCTGCTACTAGTCTGGTTTCTTTTATCAATAGAACGGGGTAAACGTGTGGTTACGAAAGTGATGAGCCCCGTATTGAACATAAATTTGATTTATGTTTTCATTATTACTATTATTTATTTTAGTCAGTCGTAAAAGTGGGCCTTCTGATTATCCTTAACTAAAGTTTGGTATATATTTATACATAATTTTTTATCGCAAGGTATTCGTGTCGTAGTCATTATTTTAGACCGTTCTTACTATATTACGATATTGGTCATATGCCACATGTCAGACTCAATACAAACTCAAAGACTGAAGGATTTATCACCAGTGGAGATAGACTCTGTTAAGACTGCGGAAGTCCAACTCCCAAAATTTAACGGTAGTGACCCCGAGTTATGGTTTGCGCAACCAAAGCATTATTTCGCGAGACAATATCAAATCTGAAGGAATTCGCTATACAAACTTATATTCTT